CATTCACTGTTGCTGGACCCTTGTACAATCCAGGAAAGAAAAAAAACCCACCTCATAGAACACTGGATTCAGATTGGATCTGCCGTTTTGGTAATCCTGTTTAGATCTATCTTTCTGAGGCTCTAGCCTGGGCAGCACCATTTATGAGGCTTCCTAATTACAATGGGAAAGACTAATAGCTTTTTCTGTTGTTTCAAATTACCTTGTTTTTCTCAGCAATTTGCTGTTCCAGCTCTCTGTTCTCTTTCTGGAGTTGAATGATGTCTGCAGTTGCCAGCTCTCCATTCTGTTCCATCACACGGTTTTCTGGAGGAGGTAAATGTTTATTGTTCAATGCTCTTGCTGATTCCTCTAATTCTGAAAACTATAAAAACAAAAAGAGTAAATTGCAGAGATATCATGACATTTGCAGCCTATGAACACTCCCCAGTGAGAAAACTATGCTGTTTATTTACTTATTAACAGAAAACATCAGTGGTAATCTAGCTGGCTACAACAATCTCTCACTGGCCTGCTTGGTGCTTTTCAGCCTCTATCTCATAGGTTTCATAATGGTTCTCTCAAGACATTTTACGATTCAAATAAAATAAGGAGCTGCCTTTTGTAAGCCAGTCACAAATCTGTCTTCAAATAGCTTCCCTTAGAAAGATATGGGGCAACAAATAACGACAGCCTACGCTGCTGGTGTTTCAGGTCATGAGCAAGTTGACAGAGTAAACAATTCCAAGCCCACACCATCCGGCATGATAGAACTGGAGATTCTTGCAGAGTTATTTTTTTCCTGAAGAGCCTGAACAGAGCACCTTCGCAACTGCACTCACGTTTCTCTCATGTTCTCTGGCCAGCAGGCACTCCTGAATCTGCAATTTCAATTCACCAATTTCCTTTCTTGCTGTTTCTTCTTTCTCTGCTGCTCGGCTATTACTTGCTTCTATGTCAGATTGCAATTGGTGTATTTGCAGCAAGACAGCGTCATGCTCTGAGGAAGGAAAGACCTGCTTAGTATCAGTCTATGAGTCAAAAGGGAGTTGCTAATTATTTTTATTAAACAAAGCAAGTTACAGTGACAGTAAATCCTGACCTTTTCACATTGCTCTGTCATAAAGACAAAAGGACAATGGAGTTTAAGCCACCCAAGCGTACATACACATCATTGCAACAGAGGAGTCTGGTTGTCTAAAGTCAAGTTTTAATACTTAAACACATAATTATCAAGCGTATCTCTTTTATGAGAAATGGATCCCCATCACAAGTCAGTGTTCTCCAGAGAAGGAGAAGAAGAAAGGCTGCGTAAGAACACCTGGGGCTGTACAAACAAATGGCTAGCTGGCACAAATGGCTACTGACAGATGGCTAGCCAGTGAGATGGCACCAACAAGAAGATAAGAGTTTTGTTGCCTTTCTAAATAATGACAACACAAAAGGAATACTGAGGACTTAGGAACTGAATGAAGATGAGTGCATTTTTTTTAGTATGACAGTATGGAATATTCGTTTGCAGCTGCTCTTCAAGAATGTAATTACTTTCAAGCAAGTGCATATTTAAAAGCAGTGCAAGAAAGCAGCAGTTTTGAAGGGCATTTACTTCATGTGTTTTGCGCAATACGTTCATCTACAGAACAAAGGACAGCAGTATTGTTTATTTATGGTGTATAAACATATAACATCTTTAGTAAGAAAAGTGCTTTTTTTTTCTTTTAAAGATGCAGTAAACTGTCCAATTGATACTGAAATGTATTAGAATTTTGAAAACCTTACATGAAAGATGGAAATAAATCTAGAATTTTTACAATCTGTACACAGGTAAGTGCAGAACTAGAGACTATACTCAGATAAAGCTGTCTGGGATGTGGTGAACTCATTTGGTCTAACCTTGACTGAGTTGGTTTAGTTCTTCCTTCTTTTTTAGAAGTAGGACAGATTTTTCATCGATCAGCTGGTCCTTCTCCTTTATTAAGGAAGCCAGATGCGAAACCTTGAAAGCAGTCAAACAAACAAACAGAAGCTGTTAACCATAAAAAACTAGAACAGGCCACAGAAGGATTTCAGCATATCTCAGAGCTTCAGTGTTTTTTTTGGGGGGAGTGGAGGGGGAGGGAAAGGAATGGGAGAAGAATTATCACATCAATAGCAAAGGCAGTGACTGGTACCTACAACTTGTACCTACAAGAGGCTGCCTGAGCTCCGCGCTAGGAACACACCTTGAAGAAGTAATTTCTGCAGCAGTAGTATTATACACTAGAGTGCAGAAATCTGTGATGTATTCAAAGGCTCATAGAAGACATCACCTCCACAATGCTGGTCTCATTAAGGAACAGAGATGTCAATATCCTGCCAGAGCTAAAGCCCGCTTCTGTTTCTGATAAGCTCTGTGCCACAGTTACAGATTGCCTCATAACCAGCAGGTGGCAGCTGTGAAACAGCCACCGTGCAAAATTGCATTATTCCCCATTCTACAGCTGGACCAAGCAACCATAGATCTTCAACAGCTCCAGACAAATAAAGAAACCAAAGGATGGGACTAAATTCGGTAAGATTTGCTCAGTTGACAGTTCCCATCTTAAACAAAGACAAGCTCATATTATCCACTAAGATCATCTTTTATATTAAAAAAAAAAAAAAGAACATAACAAGACTACCCAGAATTTACATTTGCTTACCGAATATAAACCCCTCTCTACCTTAGCATGAAGTTTGAGATTTTAGAACTGCTGTGTTTCAAAGGGACAAAGACATGATATAAGCACTGAAGAGAAGAAAACCAAACAGAGTATATTGGGGTTTTTTTTTCGGAAAAACTGCCAACAGGCCAACAGATCAGGAGGGCTGACCCACTAGGACTACACAACATCTTACAGGCAAGTGCTCTGAAACATCAGTCACCTTCATTCTGAGCTTAGCTGTTCATCTGATCTCACCTGGTCTTCCCTTCAATTGTTTATATCCAACTGCCACAACTTGTTGTAATTCTTGAGCCTACAAACTTATGAGCTTCCCTAACTTTGCAGTCAGCAGCACTTTACATGCTCCCACTGGAATAACTCACAGAAGTTGATTACGTTCTCGTGCATGCGTTTACACCACCACCCTTAACTACTGCTGTCTTGCATGCTGAAGATATGATTCTGATTAATGCTCCTATTATGATAATGAAGCCCAAATCTAGTCTGATTTGTGCAAGGTTAATGCACCCAAACATATTTTACACTGCGTCAATATTAACCAACCTGCTGTTGTAATTCTTCTTTTTGTTTTTGTGTTTCTTCCAACGCTTTGGCAATTTCAATGCTGACAGTCTCTCTGCTGCTTAATTCCTTCTGCAAATCAAAGGTAATTCAGAAGTTATTTAAGAAAAAAAATTCAGTTGGGGTCTCATCTTTAAGCCCAAATTCATTAGCAGGTAGAATGTATGTATTCACTAGCATACCATGATTTAAACTTCTAAATGAGACTTACTGTTAAGTTCTTACCAGTGTTGACTTAAAGCTGACAGACAGCTAGTGCTACTTAGAATTTTCCATAAACCCAAGCAGTTATATTCAGAACCTTAAAACACCCTCTGGGCATCTGCTAAAAGAATTGATTTTCATTTCTCTATTATTAACACTGTTATCATATCATCCCACTCTTGAGGCAGCTGCATTGCAGTGGTAGGCAAGGAAACCCTAGCATTCATTTTAAAGTAATTCAGTATTCCATTTAGGTCTACATGAATTAAAGGATTACCGCTATCTGCACATGAAAGAGCAGCACAGAAACGGTTTAGCAGAAGCTAAACACATCCAACACTTAAAAGACCTCTCTTTAGCTTAAAGTCTGTATTACAAAGTGTCTCCTTCCTACAACTGACCTTTAAATCCAACTACGCACCCGAGAGTACCTAGAGAAGACTTTCAACAGTCTAAAATTACAGTTGAAAGAGCGAGTATAAGTATATGTATTGGCGTGAAAAAGGAAAACAAGAGAAAAAAGTATAACTAAAAATCTGTAAATACCTGACAGAGCTCCGTTTAGTTTTTAATCATTTTAGAAGTAATCCTTATGAATGGAATTTGATGAACTCCTACTCTGTACTCAGTACTGCTAATGGGATTCAAAAGCTCTTCCTGTCTGACAATATGGGAATATATAACTTCTGCCTGATTTAGGTAGATCCAAGTATTCTGTTTCAAGAAAGGATCAGCTATTTGTAATGCTCCTCAAATGCAAATCAAGCGTCAAAGAAGATTTATGGCTGTGAGTATATACAACCTGAATCTAATATGACGTTAGGCACTGAGAATGGAATACACTTTGCCTTTAACTGTTTCTCAAAACATGCCCCACATGCCACATTTAACCAAACTCACTAACTAATTAAGCTCGTACCTTCAACGTGTCCAGTTCAGACTCTTGGTTTTTTAAAGAGCTCTCATACCCGTCTCTGCTTTCATTAAGATCTTCATTTTCCTTTTCCAATTGGCTCTGTAAAATAAAGTTGGCTTAAGTACTAAGCAGAAGTATTATCATGCTTTGCCTGAACAATTAACACATCCAATGAATTGCTTTATTCATATTCAGTGTCTCAAAATACTAGATCTTTTATTATAATGCTAGGAGCTCTGTGCACGCTAGGTCTACAAGTTACATCATTTTGCAAAGACTCAAATGCCCCGCTGAACAGTTTCTGTACTTACTAGCTTGTGCTGAATAGCTGTTTTATCAAATTCCCAAGCTGTTTTAAGAGCAGCTATTTGAGACTCCAGCCCAGCAACCTTCTTTTCATATTCATGTTTCACACTTAAAATCTGTTGCTGCAGTTTACTTCTTTCATTCTCTAGATCAGTTTGCTAAATAAAAATAAACAGCACTAGGTTAATAAAATGGTAATTTCAAGCTCCGATACAAACCGGACACCATTTTGTATTACACCTGCCCAAACTGAAATAACATGCTACTTCTGTGGCAGCAGCGTCATGTATTCAAATACAGACGCTAGCATAGGAGACAAGCAGCAAGAAAATACTTGAGTAACAAGACCAACACATAGGAAATGGAGTATCACTGGAGATGCTAAAAACCGGTTTGGTACTCGTCAGTGAAACATCATGCAGAGTACTCACCAACATCTGGATCTGCAGATCCTGCTCACCAGCTTCTTCCTTGCTCTTCTTCAACGCTTCTGTTGCAATCTGTAGTTTTTGTTCCAGTTCTTTATTCTAAAATACAACCATACATTAACCTTCCTATCCACTGGCATCTACACGCATACAGAATGTGGAATGGCTCAGTTGGGTAAGCTGAACATTAAACCCCTGAAACTACATAATTCAGGAGGATTGCCTACTTGACACGTGCAGCTTTTTTCCTTTTTTTTTTTCCTTTTTTTTTTTTTTTTAAAAAAAAGCCTCCACAAATTCTCTCTTCCTCTTCAGCTATTTGGTTCTTAGTATAGGTAAGATAACAAAGTTACAGATTTCATGCCTATTATAAGCAGTAAGCACTTCTCCACTCCTCAAGGTGAGAGGATCGCCAGAGACAATGATAAAAGGACTTTTCTTTCAAGACTAAATATGACACGTAGTCTCACCTTTGGTTGACAGCATACATGTAGTCAAGGGAGGAGGCAGAGGGCACAGAGAAGCTGGAAACAGTAGGAATTTGTAGTGAAATAACAAATAATACCTGTGTTTCCAGTATGTTCACAGCCTCAGCGTGATGAGTTCTGTCTGTTAGTAACTGCTGCCTGGTTTCATCCAGTTTCTGCTCAAGAGTAGTTTTCTGAAGATTATATTGGGGAGAAAAATGGGGCAAAGGATCGACAAAGAGTATTTTACTTTATTCTTGTTTAAGATCCCCTTACATATAATTATAGTAAGTTAAACTCAAATAGAACAGTTATTCTGATGTGTAATAAAGCTTTGCTCTTGGGAACTAACAAATTTGATGCTACCACACAGGGCCTTCATAGATCATGTTGCCCTGGCAATGAGATCACTAATATTAAAAATCAGAAATTCAGTGGCATTCTATCATGACTTAAATGCAAGTTCTGATCTGCAGCCCAGTCATAATTTTCTCTCTGAAGCCAAGTCTCAGGGATTAAAAAAAATTTTTTTTCTGAGTGCTTAAATTCCCTAACATCTCAGCAAACACATGAAGAAGGTAAAATATTTGCCAATTATGGCAAAAATTATCCTTATTCCATTCCTACTGGCCTAAATTTCAAACTGGTCTGCGTTTAAAGCCAAGTTCATCTATCAGACCAACATCAGGTTGGCAGGCCTCACAGGCAAGCTATACCATGAAAGAGGATGCCTCCCCTTGTCTCCCCAAGAACTGGCTAGGGAAACTGCTCCAAGCTGATTCTGAACAGGAGCATCATGCTTGAGAAAGAGAATTGAGAAAGACCACTGACCAAAACCAAGTTCCTTCAGTTTTCAGCTGCTTCTTAACACTTCTGAAGCTCAAGCTTTGAACATTCAACATTTGGTTTGTACACTTACATGTAAAAAACCGTTCCCCTTCCTCTCCCCATGCTTTGCAAGTCATGTTAATAGAAGACCAAGAACAAGTGTACTAAACAGGCAGGTACAGTGAATGACCTAAATATTAGATGCAGATATCTCTGCAATATCCATATCCATATATGGGCTCAATGTAGTGACTTGCAGAATTCTGTCTGGCGTAGGTAGCGTGCCAATATACAGAGGAGGGACAAATGTGCACGTGTTACCTCATCATATGTTCTTTCCATGGGTAATAAAATAAGCAATGTATGTTCTAAAAGCTCTCCTTAAGACTGTACTTTTAAGCAGTCTATAGAAGTAAAACTACCTCCTTAAGAAGTTCCTGCACATGCTCATCCCCTGAAAGATTTCTTCCTAGTTTCTTTTCCAAGGAAGACACTTTTTCCTGCAGCAGTTCAGTAAGTTTATTTCTCTCATTATATTCAAGAGTCATCTGTTGGAACAAGAAATCACAAGATCTTCTTTGTAGCCAAGCTTTCATCTAATCCACTGTGGTCTGAGTTGAAAAAGTGTCATTAGAAAAAGTCCTATTTGAAAAGACAATAGGATTCCGAAACACTTTACAGACGTTAAATTTCAAACCCACTGTGCGTTACCAAAGGGCACACCTTTACACCAGCCAATAGCAGGTGCATGCGAAAACGCTTAATCGGCTCATCCCTTCAATACTAGTGTATAAAGAATTTATTAAACCTACAGTTCTTACAGTTTCAAATAAAGCATGAAGCACAAGTACATCTTTAAAATATTTATTTTCTACAGAAAATTCAGTCAAAGTAAAAAATACAACTAATAAATTCACAGACAAGACTGTGGATTAAAACTAGATTAAATAAAGTAACTTCAGATCACACACAAACTAAACAATGAAGTACCTTTTGCTTGTATTGCTCATATTCCACCTTCAGAGATTCATGCTCCACCTGTAACATTTCCAGCCTCTTCTCACAACCAGAACCAGCAACTCGAGCCTAAAAATATAGAAAAATTACTTGCTTTGCAACTCAGACTTCTAAATCCATATAATCAATATCTAATCCTACTTCTGCAGACAGGTAGGTCTTTGAATCAAACCTCACTTATCTCGAACTTACGTTTTGTAAGTCTACAGAGAACTGCTGAATGACAGTTTGTAGCTCCCGTTCTCTTAACTCCAGAGCAGTGATCTTATTTTCCGCATTTGTCTCAGCTGTCATTAATTCATCTCTTCACAGAAAGAGAATAAAGAAGTAACACAATGTGCCAGAAAAATAAACTTTAGCAAATAATTCTACTTTTTATGCAAATGGACCAAGAAACATCAACAAGACTTTTTTGATGGCTAAAACCAGCCACTGTGTTGACTACACACTTTAAAAGTAAGGGTTAAGTATTAGGTACTATAGAGCTCCAAACTAGGAAAAAAAAAACATCATAACAAGTTTACTAAATCCTACACAAGTTATTACTTTAATTGACTTGAGAAGAAATAAATAAAAATCTGGCATGTACATCCACACCAGCATACTAGATGCAATTATTCAATCAGTTCACTGCATATATAAACTCTTCCAAAAAGACTGAGTTGGGAACTAAGTAAAAATACACAGGGAATAAATACACTGCTCCTCACAACACACCACATCCATACCTCTGTGCCTCTAGCTCCAAGAACTGCTGCCGCAACTCTTGAAGATCTTTTCTTAGGCCTGATGACACACCACTTGTATCCTGAAGCACCTCTTTAGTGTGAGTTAGTTCTCGAGTGCATGCCTCTAGTTCCTGCTCTGCTTTGCTCAGAGATTCTTCCTTTTTCAAAAGCTGAGTATTAGAATATTATATTTGACAATACAGATAACCCAGTAATATTGATAAAGACTTCTCATTTAGACTTATCTCCTTTATTAAGTTATGAGCTGAACTAAATGAAATAACTCCCAGGAAAGGCAATGTTGAAACAGTCTCTGTAACATTGTACGTGTTTACATTCTGGTAGGATTTTGACGCTGAGAAAGTCTGCACATAACCATCAAGGCTAAAAAAAATTATTGCAGTGCTACCACTAACTAGGTATCCTAAGAGAAATTTTAAAAGTCATGTTTAAAAATAATCTTACCATGTGTTTAACTTTGGCCATCTCCTGCTGTTGAAAGCCCTCCAGTTCATCAATTTCATCTCTCTTTTGAAAAAGGTTTAAACTCTGCTCCCTCATTTCTTGTAACTGCGTTTCCAGCATTCTTTTTTCCTGATAAACCAACAAAAACAAGGAATCCATGAATATCTGCACGTTAATTTCAAGTCAATGGGAGTTTAGTTACGCTCTTTGGAAAAGGAATCTTGTCTTAAAGGCTCTCTGACAGTACTATATATAGCAGTAGGCAACGTGGAGTAAATTATTGAACTTCAAAAATCTTCACAATGTTGTCTTTATTACAGTGCAGTCAAGTCTCACTTTAAAAAACAGTATAGATAGGTAACTCAAGCATAACAGTATTATAGGTAATTAACCCTTAAAAAGTTATAAATTTACAGCCAATAGTAACATGTTTAATGTCTTCATAATCAAAGATATTTTAAAAGAGACTGAGCTAAACAGCTGTAACAACTACAGCAAAACTGAATTCATTTCCTTAAAAAACAAACAAACAAACTACCAAATAGGGTTGCTTATTTTATGAAATAGAAAACTTACTGCAAGACCTCAGACCAAGTCACTAATTCTTTCTGCACCCCAGCTGCTCCTCTATAAGAAAGTAAACTCTCTTCCACCTTACAGAAGCACAATGCCTTTCTCCCTGCCACCCCTCATTCTCTACTTGCCCATTCAAAACTAATTCCAGAAATATCTTCTGAAGTAACAGAGCTGGTAACGAAAGCCTATCTCTGGCCTCAGTCATTGAGCAAAGATCACTTAACAAGAACGGATGAACAGAGCTGAGTCCCAGAAAGTGTACAGATCAGTGTTTAAAAATCAGAACTTAATTACCTTTTCAACTTGACCCAGTTTTTCCATCCATTCCTGAGTGAGAAAAATAGAAGAAAAATAGAAGAAAAATCAAAATCCATTTATAGACTTTTGAAAACTGCAGTTATAGTAAAAAAAAAAAAAAAAAAAGAAAAAGAAAAAGAAAAATTTGTACTGTTAACAGATGTTAAACCATGGTTTTTTTTAAAATGACTAAATTTTAAATGACTAAAATAAAAATAACAATAAGATTTAAACATAGAAAAACCTGAGGAATCATTTACGTTACTTGAATACCTAAGCTTTACGCAAGTAAAATAAAAATGACAACAGTTCTCCTGCAAAGGAATCTTACTAAATACAAAGGTGAGCTTACCTTTATACTAGAAACTTTTGAGTGGTTTTTTAAAATCGGCAAGAACACTCAGAACGACGACAAGTCCTTTGACGTTTCTTACATTAGCACTTAATGCTCCATCCTTTCTTTGACTTCAGCAAAGTAAGCAAAAGCAATACAGAGCAACTATTTTCATTAATGGTGACACCTCCTGACTACATCAAGATCATGCACTGCACAACTGGTCAAAAGTTCAGTTGTTCAAACTGTAACTATTACCTGGTCCTTTTTTTCCAAGGCCAAAGCCATTCCTTCAGCCATCTTGGCTCGGTTGGCCTGGTGAGCTTCATTCTGCTCCTGAAACTTCCTCATAGAGGCTGTCAACAAAGAATCACCAGCTTTATTACAAGGCCATCTTTTTAAATCACTTCTCAATTTCCTATGTTATTTATAAATTTAAAGAGCTTCTTACCCAAGTAATTAGCCCCATCTTGACTCTCTAGCACTGATGTTGTGCCATTTATTATATTACATTACACATTTGCTTGTACATTAGACAACTGCCGGAAACGACAGAAGACATGAGTACTGTTCCTCAGTGCTTGGATTATAACAAGGCTGAAGGTTTCAAAAAAAATCTCTCCCACACATTAGCCACCAACTTGGCAAAGAGATTAATGACAACTTTGTTCAGCAGCCAAACTATAGCTTTTTTTGCAACCTAGAGGTGCACAATTTGAAAGTAAATGCATTTAAAACAACCATACAAACTCATTTCTTTCCATCTGCATTTAAAGCATAACAGTTTTCAACTGAAAAAAAAAAAATACGTACAATCCTGATGCTTTTCTAATGCATTTTCAAGCTTCTCTTTTATCTTCTGCAAGTTTCGGATCTGATCAGCATAATCTTGTGTGAGGAGGGAGAGGCACAGACCAGGAATGGACAGACATTGGGGAAGGGAAAAAAAAAAAAAAAAAGAAAGGAAGAAGAAAAAAAATGAGTGGAAAACAACAATGATTTTCTCAACTAGAAAATCATTCCAGTTAGGGAAAACTTGGGTGACCACAAAAATGAAGACAAGCAAATACTGTCTATGCTGTCCATGGGGTATGCGGTTGGCACAAACAGGAGGACCTGACCTAGGTGTGCTAGTTACACAATAAAGGGCAGTAGGCCTGGCACCAGAGAACGGAGAACTATTCCCACCTTTTACTCCATTCAAGAACAGTGACTTAATTTAAGAGACATTTTCTAAAGAGAAACAAAGAGTGAATGAGAAGACACGGGAATTCAAAGCAGCTTTTACTTTTGCTCCATAACACACTTCAACCTGGACTCCGATCCACTCCATGCAACAGGGATGGAAAGCAGTATCAGAAGTCCTTAAAAGACTTTTACAGGACAAGGCATGATTGTAGAAAGAAAAACAGCGTCAATGTTGTTTTATGCCAAATCCTTTGCTTTTTCTTCATTTGGGAGTTTATCCTTTTGGGAATGTTTCTGTCAACATCAAAAAGCATACATCTTAACAGAAGGGAGCTGTTCTATTTTCCAAGTAAGTAAGAAAAAACAGTGGGGAAAGGAAGATAGCATCAAGTGAAGACTCTTTCTGTTTGAAACACAGGGACAGAAAGGTATCCCAAATGTTCAAAAGAAACGCACAAATGTTGCGAAGAAATCAGTGGAAAAGAGTCAGTCAGTCAATCAATCTTTAAACTTTATACAGTTATCTTTACTGGAAGCTACCTAGATGACAGTCAACCATGTTGTTACAAATTGAAGTTTTCTGGAAAAAAAAAAAATCTAAAAACATTTTTTGATAAGTTAAAACACTTAAGTTCAAATGAAACACATTTCCTAAAATAATAAGGTTTTATACAAACCAAGACACATACCGGACAGTTTGACCTCCAGTTTTCTTATCTGTTCGTTTCTTCTCAACAACTGGGATGAAAGATCCTCCCTAGAGCTGCTTCCATCAGAAGCCTCAATAGAAAAACAACATCCATGTAACTTACAAAACTTAGAAAAAATGATCCTGCCATATACTAACTTTAACGATAATGAACACTATCCCACCTAGGAAGGACGCTTTCATTTTTCACGAGGGGAGAGTTGTACTAGCACAGCAGAATGTACAAAAGATGCTGAAGAAGAAAAAAAGCAAGAGCTTAAATGGTCAGCTCTCCAATGTGGGCCTGTTCCGTGAAATACAAGACTTTTAAAACCCATAGCTGCAAATTATTTGTTCAGACTGATCACTGAGGAGACAGCATAGCAGAGCGACTGGAAAAAGGAAAAATTAGGTTATACAGTACACATTCTGGGATGAGTCCAAGTGAGAGGAGTCATTTTGGAAAACTAAGTAACTGGAAGAAGGAAAAGTAATACTTTTCACGTTGAATAAACTCCCTTAAGCACTTATCCAATAGTCATTCCATGCAAAATCCACTGCATAGCTAACATATGTTTCTCTATAGTTTTTTTTTATAAAAATCAACATTAAGAGCAAGTAAATGGGAACTACTAAAATAACTCATTCTTGAAGATAGAGTTTTATTTATATATTTCATATATATATCTCTATATACACACACACACACACACAGAGCGAAAGAGAATCATAAAGGGACCTGCTGTGCTAAAGCAATATAGCATGTATTAGCTGTTAGCTCCAACAGCAGTGCTACACCATGACTTAACCCAGGTTTTGAGAAATACAATAGCCATCTACGGGCAGAGGTGCCAGCGTTGTAGGGTTTCATTTAACCCACATGCAGCTATAATTATACAGCTTGCTTAAACAATGCTTCATAATGAATCAAAGTTTAAACAAGACAGAGGAACCAGAACAGTTTTACTTGCATGCAACAAAATGGAATATGCTTTCTTAGCGGTTACATAAACAATATGCTCAAGCAGCAAGTGTACCAGCAACTCGAGAGGCAAACACAGGACCAAATCACTGCTAATCAGCATCCGGCTTCCTTGTCTGCTGCTTCAGTACTTACTTCTGTAGGTAGGTGTCTTACACACTGCTAAAGGTTTATTCAGTATTTTCCATCTGTTTAACAATGGTCTTCATTGAGATAGTTTTGTAACTTGCGTTTAAACATAAACTTGCGTTTGAACATAAGCCTCCTAGTAACTACTGCTATTAATACATAAATATTTTCTTTTCAGTAGCTAGTTTCTTTTCACTGAAGCTAGTGATTCATCTACACGTTAAGCTCTACACCTACATAAACGCCCTATCGCATACCGGAACGCATACGCGGCTCACGCACCGGACTTAAAATGGTCGCCTGCCAACCCGCACTGGAAAGGCTGAAACAAAAAGCAAAATTCCAAGCAAAGTGCAACTCACAAAGTCGTCTCCCGAGTCCGCTCCCATGGACGCAATCGACTCCTTGCTGACAGACCTAGGTATCCTGGCAGCTCCTCCCGGGCGAGGCGCGATACCTGCCTCTTCCGCGATCTTCTTCTTCAGTTTTGCAAACATTTTACTGCTCTGCAGCCCCGAAATAGCCAAGTATTTGGCAAAGCCGCTCCCTCCGGCACGGCTAGCGCGCTGGCGCTCCGCGTAGAGCTTCCAGACGTCGAGATTTAATTTCGTGCCTCATCCACTCAGTTTTATTGCCTCTCTAGTTCCATTAAAGCCTTCATGGCCTAACAGGACCTGCACGTTAAGGAGATAAGGTTTCCGTACCGCGGCTTTCCACCAGTTTTAAATACCTCCACGCAACCGAGCGCCTTTTAATTCCGTGCGTGTCGTCGCACACTCAGAGCGCGGAGCAGAAGCCCTGCAGAGCTCCCGCCGGCCGCGAAGCGCGC